TTTACTAGGTTGCAGTAAAACTGTTGGGGATAAACTTAACATTACTGAGGGGTAAGATTTAGAAGGCACCTCATTACCCTTATTTTTGTTTTCATCTATAAAAATGAAAAATGTGGGGGAGGGACTTATAATAGAAAAAAAAGTGTATAAGTACGTATCTTCTAGGGAGAATAGGGTTTTTAAACATCAAACTTAAATTTTAATGAAATACTTTTCAATTTAGTGAAAGACTTAGAATAAATCCTGGAGCATAGACTAAGATTAGGTACTTTGAAATTTGATTTTTATTGATTTTCAATAATTTTCTTTCCTTGTAGTTTTGGAAATGACTTTCACAGCAAACCTAATAATTTTAAGACCTTTGGTATTCATGGGTTTATGATATATTTTGCCTTTATACTAGTCATCTGGTTTAGGGCATGTAATAAAAATACATTCTCTACACATAACGAGCTCAAACTCTTTTATGTTATTGGTTATCTTTTTTAAATCACAATGCCTCCACTTGAATCTTCAATCTTATATTTGTAGGACACTTGATATGCATATTTGATTTGTCAATCAGTAGCATACATTTTTTTAAATTGCACATACACATAGCGTGAGTCAGAAATATTGTCAGTAGAATATTCTTACAAGTCTCAAAAAGTTTTGTGGCGAAAGCAAGACAAGATAGCTTTTTGCTCCTCACTTTCCTTTTTTGTTTAAATTCTCTGCATCAAAATGCTGGTTCCTTCAAAGTATTAATTGAAATCTCTTTAGCTACCAAGTAATGGGTCTTGTAAGCTGAGCCTCTGGTTCAAGATGGCAACGTGAGAGGATCCCCTGAACTCACCTCCTGTCCAACACACGACGTCTATAGCCACGTTCAGAACAGTTTCTCTCTGAAGGAGATCTGAAAACTAAATCTACGTTGGATGGATACAAAACCACATCAAGGGGTGCCTCGCTGGCTCAGTCAGCGGAGCATGTGACTCTTGGTCTCAGGGTCATGAGTTCAAGCCCCACATTGGGTGTGGAGCCTACTTGAAAAAGAAAAAGAAGACAAACAAACACAAACCCACAACAAAAATGAGTAGGAGATAGTGTCTCACCATAAACTCCTCCCCCGGTGTGGCAACCCACAGTTAGATGGAAGCTCACAACTCTGAGCTTCTTCCTGGGAGGCCAAATGTTTGAACCCCACGTCTGGCACCCCAGCTTTTAAGACCTGCACCCCAGAGATGGGTCCACAAAACATCTGGCTCTGAAAGCCAGTGGAGCCTAGGTCCACAAGGCTACAGCCAACCGAGAAACCGTTCTTAAAGTGCTCATGTGGTTTTCTTTGGCCAACCCTCCAGGGTACAGCACAGACACAGCAGTCTGAAATGCACCCCCAGTCTTTCTGGGAAAGAGGCCTATTAGCTTATCTGTGTAGCTGAGGCCTGAGGTGACAGACCCAAGTCTGGCCGCAGTCCTCTCCACAGACCTTGGAGGGCCGGAGCGACCTTTCACGCTCCCTCTGCCGTGCTCCACATCGCCAGTACCTCCCGAAAAGGAGCTTGTGCACCTGTCTGGTGGCCCTCAGGGCTTATGTTGGCAGGTCACGTAGGACTGAAATAAATGGAGGAACAGTTGTTAACTGGCCACCCTACCCAGGACACAGCACAGAGGTGGCCAACTGAAATCATCCCGGTCTTTCTGTGACTCGCCTTTTAGCTTATCTGCATAGCTATGGCCTGAGGAACGGGCTTCTAATTAAACACATGTCGGTGAGCCCAAGGCAATCCCCCCGGCCCGAAACTGGGGAGACTGGTGGGCAGGCACCATCCTTGAACTCGCCTATCCTGCCCCAGATTGTCAGAGTCTCTGAGAAAAGACCTCATGTACACGTCTGGCACCACAGCTTTTGTGGCTGCAACTCACACTGTGTCCCTTGATAACCAGGCCCTGCTGGTCAGCAGTACAGTAACAAGTAAAGAGACAGTTCTTTTTTTTATGTTTATCTTTGAGAGAGATGGAGAGACAAAGCATGAGCAGAGAAGGGGCAGAGAGGGAGACACAGAATCTGAAGCAGGCTCCAGGCTCCGAGCTGTCAGCACAGAGCTTAACGTGGGGTTCAAATTCACGAATCTTGAGATCATAACCTGAACCGAAGTCTGACGCTTAACCTACTGAGCCACCCAGGCACCCCGACATGTGAAATTATTTTGAAAAGAATCATTTATTTCCTAGATCAGGGTCTCTTGCTACTACAAATCTATGTTTTTAGTTGTCCATTTTCCTACTAGGCCTCTGGATTTAATTCCTGTACTAAATTATGCTATCTGCATACCTTGCCTTTTAGTGAAACAGAGGTTAGAGGTGAATATACCACTTACTGGAATAGATCAACCACTGAGGCAGAGCAGATGTACCAAGTGGTTTCTACGAATGAGGGCATCACTTTATCTTTTGATACAATTAAAATCTTAAGATCTACAGAAGCTGTTCTCTAGTGCTTGTACTCTCACGATGCAACCATTAAGCCATAAGGCTGACATTTCAATGTGGTTTGAGTGTAATCACCACCCTTTGATGCTGCTTTGAATGGTGTATGCATTTGGGTATGAACATCTGGCCTGTTTTCCCTTAAATAACACTTGTATTTATAAGGCAACTCTGTACATTACCCCTGGGAGTATTTAGATGGGGAAACAATTTTTAAACTAAATCTCCATATCTAGGGAACTATCGTCCAAAATAAATTACATTGCATTTGTAAAGAAAGTTATTTTAGGGGCGCCCGGGTGGCTCAGTCGGTTAAGCGGCCGACATCGGCTCAGGTCACGATCTCGCGGTCCGTGAGTTCGAGCCCCGCGTCGGGCTCTGTGCTGACAGCTCAGAGCCTGGAGCCTGTTTCAGATTCTGTGTCTCCCTCTGTCTGACCCTCCCCTGTTCGTGCTCTGTCTCTCCCTGTCTCAAAACTAAATAAATGTTAAAAAAAATAAAAGTTATTTTAAAGTCTCTTTTGTTCACAGAGTAATGCCAAGTCTTAAGATTCATTCTTTCAACAACTCTAAAATGTGTTTTATATATGGTTGGGTGTTAAATGCATTTACAAATATATATATTCTACCTCAGCCCTTAAACATTAGAAACAAGAACACTGAAAACTGGGAATGTGAACAAGTTTGACTTCCTGAACTAAGAATATTATTGAGAAATACTCAAAGTAAATAGGGTAGAATTCTATATACTTTCTAGCTATTTATAATATCTTGGTGACCGATGGGAGCTATAAAGTTTATGGCCTTTGTTCTTCACTTTTTCAAACAACAATAACAGTGAGAAACCAGTTAGGAATTCAGAATCAGTCAGAAACTTCTGCACGTTAGAGAGCTCTCACACTCGTAGCAGTGCTGGGCGGGGGCACAGAGTGAACCTGTGGCCTGTAGTCTTCTCGAAGAGGATTTCGCTCTTTAAGAAAGTTAGATTCCACTCTAAATTCCAGCAATGGGTGATTTTCTCCCCGTACTTGAATAAGGACACGTCTTACTTTAAACAATGTCATATAAGAGTAGTGAGTTTTAGGGGCGCCTGGGTGGCGCAGTCGGTTAAGCGTCCGACTTCGGCCAGGTCACGATCTCGGGTCTGTGAGTTCGAGCCCCGCGTCGGGCTCTGGGCTGATGGCTCGGAGCCTGGAGCCTGTTTCCGATTCTGTGTCTCCCTCTCTCTCTGCCCCTCCCCCGTTCATGCTCTGTCTCTCTCTGTCCCCCCCCCCCAAAAAAAAAAGAGTAGTGAGTTTGGCAGGAACATCTCCATCCAATAACCTCAGGTTGTATCAGAATCTTAGTTGTTTTTGTTTTTGTTTTTTTACTGTTACTTACTTTTGAGAGAGAGAGAGAGAGAGAGAATGAACTGGGAAGGGGCAGAGAGAGGGGGACAGAGAATCCAAAATAGGCTCCTTGCTGAAAGCAGAGAGGCTGACACAGGGCTTGAACCCACAAACCGCAAGATCGTGACCTGAGCTTAAGGGACACGCAGGTGCCCCCGGAATCTTAGTTTTTATGTGCATCTTACCATATCTGCTAAACGCACAGTAAAAATTAAGCCATGCATTTCAGGAAAGGAAGCAGTATCTGTTGTCGGTGGAACAAAGGAACCAAAAAAAGCAAACAGCTGTGCTAGCACCGGATGCTGGGGTGGAACAGACCGTGACCTCGCTGAGTCCTCACATCAGGCAGGGTCTCTTTCAAACAAACCACTGGGCAGAGAGGAGGGACGGCCGCTCACATTCAGAGTACGGTTTTGCAAATTTTGTTTTGCACTTTTATAGTTAGTAGCATAAGTTAGGCCAAAGAAACGCTGCCTTGAGGACATGATTGGGAATCATGTTTTACAAGTATTGTTTTATGGATAAAGCATGTTTATGATGCACTGTAAGTGTCCCCTCCCTGAGGGATCGGTGAGGTACTTTGGGAAGATACGCTCGAGCAGAAAGAAACAGGAATTTTGAATTAAGTACGAAGGTGAAGTTTTACTATACCCAATTTTCATATACTTTTCAGGGATGTAGCACTTGCTCAGAAACGAGAGATGGCTGTACTGTTGATTTTTAACAAGCCCAGTTGACTCTTTGGCAACCAAAGATTGTTATGCTGTTTTCCAAAAAAATTGTTATGTTATTGTTACGTTGTTTTTCCAAAACAGACTTTTATACTAGTTTCTGCTTCAAATTTGTTGTATTTTGTATATTTATACAAAATTGCTCTCGACATGTAAATATAAATTTTGTTTTTCAAATAATGGCAATTATATATGCCATTATATACATTTATATATATGGGATAAAATGAAAAGTTTCTCTAATGACGTGGAAAGCAGCATATGTGAAAGGTTGCTAAAACCGAAAGAATGTATTTGCAGTGAAATGAGAAGTCCCGTGGGGAGCGGGGGGGTCTTTATTGTTCATATTTTGAAAATGGGATCTTCAAGTGTTGTGAAAAATAAAATCCAAGATGGGAGAATTTTCATTTGTGACGATGCGTTCATTTCCAGTGTGTTTTAGCTCAGAGCAGAGCATGCTTGTACTTGGCCCGACTTCTCTACGCGTTCCACGGCAGCCCCTCACATTGCAGAGCCTTGAGTGTGTCCAGGCTCCTCGCCTAGCCCGTCCTGGGCCTCTCCTGCTCAGGGGTGTTCAGTACCAGGCGCACAGCGTCAAGTGCAAGGTTTCTCGCAGGCACCCTGAAGCTTTCTACAATTAAATCCCAACTTGTCTTCCGAAGACTTCTCCATTTCTTCAAAGAACCTATTGTCCGTCGAGCGGACCGTCTGCCCCACGTGCTGGGCTGTGTTCCTGGTTCACTGTCGCCTGTAGCACTTCTTGTGCTGGCCGGGTCCTGGACATCTTCCCCAAGGCTCAGCTCCTACTGCCCATTCCGTGAAGCTTCTCCCGACTTGCCCAGCTCTTAGAGCCTTTGTGATGTCACCGAACCTTGAGTTAACCGGGTGTCTATATGCCTGTATCTGGTGGCAGATGTACCTTCCACATCACGTCAGTGCGTGGGTATGATTAAGTGCTTACAAACCCAAGCCCCAGTGATGAAAGTAGAAAGTTTGATTTGTGTAATAACAGGGTTTGCTTTTGTTTACACAAAAAGTTTTCTTGGTCTTTTTTGCAGATTCGAATTAAATCAGATTGCTACATGTCTGAGATCCGACCTCAGTATTTTTAGTATCATGGCTGCACGTTGGAATTGCCTGGGGAGTTTTGCTGATGCCTGGGTCCCACCCCCCATGAAAGTTTCTCATGTCATTGATCTGGGACAATGCTTTGGCATTGCTATTTTTTCTAAGTTTCTCAAGCGATTCTAATAATGCAGCTATGGTTTAGAACCTCTGCATTAGTGATTCTCAAGCTCCATAGCCCATTCCTACACATAAACTAATAAAAACAGGACATAAAGGCTTATATTTACAAAATGCTGTTTGTTTTAATTGAGCATATTACATCACAATACAGTTTGAAACTTAAAATGTTATTGCCTGGTTAACAAAACAAGACTTTTTGTGGTTTGAAAAAAACAGAGGCAATCTTTCTGATAACAGCTCTGGATGAATGTTAGGTTGTTTATAAATATAGAAAATAACTTACTAAATTGTATATGGCTTTAGATTGAGAGTGTAGCATATTTTTTAAATTGGTATAAAATATACAAGGAAGTTTTTTTTGTTGTTTTTTGGTTTTTGTTTTTTTTTTTTGTTTGTTTGTTTGTTTTTGGTAACCAGGGGAGCTTTTAAGGTGAAAAGGTGACTACCAAAAGTCTTCTCAAACAATGCTGAAGAGAGAGAGGATGGACACAAATCGGAATTTGCATTGTTACAGAATACTCTAGCTTTAAAGAAACAACTGCTCTGGTATTTGAAATCTTAATAATGTCTGACAGTTAAATTTAATTTTAACCAAGAATGCACTTTCTTAGATCTTTTACAAATTTGCATATTTTTACTTAAGAGCAGGATTTTAACATAGTCTACTGACTTCCAGAAAGATGTAAAAATTGAGTGTCCATGCATTTCCTCCCCCTTACGCATGGTTGCTTTCATCTTTTCCAGATTCATTTCAGAAAAGGTTACACTATGGGGCGCCTGGGTGGCTCAGTCTGTTAGGCGTCCCACTTTGGCTCAGGTCATGATCTCATGTTCCGTGAGTTTGAGCCCCATGTCAGGCTCTGTGCTGACAGCTTGGAGCTTGGAGCCTGCTTTGGATTGTGTCTCCTTCTCTCTGCCCATCTCCTGCTCACGCTCTTTCTCATTCTTAACAGTAAATAAACATGAAAAATAAAAATAAAAATAAAAATAAAAAGGTTGCACTAAACTGAAGCCGTCAGCCTTTCCATGATGGGGCACTGCTGCCCTCCTGTGGCCTTCCCGGGCATTGACAGTCCCAAAGTCCTTCCAACTTTGTCATTGTTCACAGGCTCCACCACTGCGGTGATTCCCAGAAGCCGTTTTTAATTTCATGTTGTATCCAGTATTAACTCGGTCTTTTCTGCTTTCCTTCTGTGAAATTACCATTCTAAAAGGGCTTAACTCTGCCCCTTGTTGCTTAAATATGGGAGAAATCCAATACTGGGGTCTGTGGTCAATAACATCTTCCTTCCCTCTCAGTTCCGTACCTGAAGGTAAACAAATCACCACAAGTATAGATCCCGTGGAGAAAGTTCCCCACTCTGACTCCTGACTTGCTACCCCAAGAACATGTGCAGCTGGGTAGTAAAACTGATGTTCGCATAAGCTACTTACGTTAGCATCATTTATCTCCCTTACGCAGCTTTTAAAAACTTGAACCATTTTCTGTGGCCGTGGCAAGCCTTGTGCCGATCTATGGAAATCAAGCAAGAGCTCCGCCATCCTGGTGCTTAGGGCTGGTGGCTTCAGTGAGAATCTGGAAACCACCATTGTTTAGATGACAGTTATGGTGTTTGGGAAAATGGTCAACTGGTCACCCAGCGCCACCTGAAAAGGCTCCCAGGAAAACACCCCTTCCATTTGTAATCGATGTTCATTATTGGAGAATTCCCGGTGTAGGACCCCATGGGACTGCGCTTCAATTTCGTGTGTAGTAAGTCTTTTTGAAATGCAGATTCTGATTCCCTAGGTCCCAGGTGGGGCCAGGGTTCAGCATTTCCATGAGTTCTACCTACTGCCATTTGTGGTAAGCTAATGGCCGCTGGCCCAGTGCCTGGGAGGCACAGAAGAGTGTGGAGGGAAACAAACTGGCCCACTCATGCTAGTGGGAGGACAGCCTGAACAGAGTGGTTTGGGACACCTGGTGGGGAGGGTGGAGAGACTGGGGTGTTGCTATTTTTTGCCTGATGACCAACATGGTGGGGCTTCAGGGAATCCACAGTGGGCCCACAGTGGAGGCGGGACCCACCTACACCAAACCACACCCCTCCGTGGGACCAAACCAGACGGCCCCTCCTCCAGACCAGTGCAGCCACTGGTTCCAAGACACCATCAGATATCGGTCCAGTGGTTTCAATTTTCTGATTTGATTCTTGGTCAATTCTTATATATATATGAAGGGGAAGGAGGCAGACTTCCAAATCCAGGAAGCATAGAGAACTCCCTTCAGATTTAACAAGAATAATTCTTCTCCACGGCATATTAGAGTGAAACTGGCAAAATACAAAGATAAAGAGAGAATTCTGAAAGCAGCTAGGGACAAACGGGCCTTAGCCTACAAGGTAGACACATAAGGGTAGTTAGCAAGAAGGGAGTGGCAGGAAATATTCAATGTGATGAATAGGAAAAATATGCAGCCAAGAGTCCTTTATCCAGCAAGGCTGTCATTCAGAATAGAAGGAGAGATAAAGGCTTTCCCAGAAAGACAAAAACTGAAGGAGTTCATGACCACTAAACCAGCCCTGCAGAAGATCCTAAGGGGGACTCTGTGAATGGAAAGCAGCAAAGACCACAAAGGACCAGAGACATCACCACAAGCATGAAACCTACAGATATCACAATGGCACTAAATCCGTATCTTTCTATAATAACTCTGAATATAAATAGGCTAAATGCTCCGATCAAAAAACATAGGGTATCAGAATGGATAAAAAACAAGATCCATCTATATGCTGTCTACCAGAGACTCATTTGAGACCTGAGGACACCTTCAGATTGAAAGCGAGGTGACGGAGAACCATCTATCGTGCTAGTGGAAGTCAAAAGAAAGCTGGAGTAGCCATACTTATATCAGACAAAACAAATTTTAAACTAAAGACTGTAACAAGAGATGAAGAAGGGCATTATATCATAATTACGGGGCCTATCCATCAAGAAGAGATAATTGTAAATGTTTATGCTCCCAACTTGAAGGCACCCAAATATACAAACCAATCACACACATAAGCGATCTTATTGAGAAGAATACAGTATTTGCAGGAGACTTTAATACTCCACTTACAACAATGGACAGATCATCTAGGCAGAAAATCAATAAAGAAACAATGGCTTTGAATTATACACTGGACCAGATGGACTTGACAGATATATTCAGAACTTTTCATTCAAAAGCAGCAGAATACACGTTCTTCTCGAGAGCACATGGAACATTCTCCAAGATAGATCACATACTGGGTAACAAAACAGCTGTCAATAAATATAAAAGAGTTGAGATCATCCCATGCATATTTTGAGATCACAATGCTATAAAACTTGAAATCAACCACAAAAAATTTTTTTGGAAAGCCTCCAAATGCAAGAACATCCTACTAAAGAATGATTGGGTCAACCAGGCAATTAAAGAAGCAATTTAAAAATATATGGAAGCAAATGAAATTGAAAACACAACAGTCCAAACCCTTTGGGATGCAGCAAAGGCAGTACTAAGGGGAAAATACATCGCAATTCAGGCCTACCTCGAGAAGCAAGAAAAATCCCAAATACAAAACCTAACCACAAATCTAAAGGAACCAGAAGCAGAAAAGCAAAGAGATCTCAAAGCCAGCAGAAGAAGAGAAATAATAGAGATTAGAGCGGAAATAAACAAAGTAGAATAAAAAAAAAAAAAAACACCACAAACAGTAGAACAGATGAATGAATTTAAGAGCTGGCTTTTTGAAAAAATAAACAAAATTGAAAAACCCCTAGCCAGACTTCTCAAAAAGAAAAGAGAGAACCCTGATAATATCATGAATGAAAGAGGAGATCACAACCTACACCAGAGAAATACAATTAGAGAACACTATGAGAAATTATATGCCAACAAACTGGACAACCTGGAAGAAATGGACAAATTCCTAGACACCCACACACTACCAAAACTCAAATGGGAAGAAATAGAAAATGTCAACAGACCCATAACCAGTGAAGAAATTGAATAAGTTATCAAAAATCTCCCAACAAATAAGAGTCCTGGGCCAAATGGCTTTCCAGGGGAATTCTACCAGACACTTAAAGCAGAGTTAATACCTATCCTTCTTAAGCTGTTCCAAAAAATAGAAATGGAAGGAAAGCTTCTGGACTTACTCTCTGAAGCCAGCATTACATTGATTCCCAAACCGGAAAGAGATCCCACTAAAAAGGAGACTACAGGCCAGTATCCCTGATGAATGTGGATGCAAAAATTCTCAACAAGATACTAGTAAGTCAAATTCAACAGTATGTTAAAAGAATTATTCACCATGATCAAGTGGGATTCATTCCTGGGTTGCAGGGCTGGTTCAATATTCACAAATCAATCAATGTGATACATCACATTAATAAAAGAAAAGATAAGAACCATATGATTCTGTCAATAGATGCAGAAAAAGCATTTGACAAAATTCAGCATCCTTTCCCAATAAAAACCCTCAAGAAGGTTGGGATAGAAGGAACATACTTTAACATCATAAAAGCCATATATGAAAAGCCCACAGCTAATATCATCCTCAATGGGGAAAAACTGAGAGTTTTCCCCTGAGATCAGGAACACAATGGGGATGTCCACTCTCACCAGTGTTGTTTAACATAGTGTTGGAAGTCCTAGCATCAGCAATCTGACAACAAAGTGAAATAAAAGGCATCCCACTTGGCAATGAAGAAGTCAAACTTTCACTTTTCGAAAATGACATGATACTTTACATGGAAAACCTGAAAGACTCCACCAAAGAGCTGCTAGAACTGATACATGAATTCAGCAAAGTTGCAGGATACAAAATCAATGTACAGAAATTGGTTGCATTTCTATACACCCATAATGAAGCAACAGAAAGAAAAATGAAGAAATTGATCACATTTACAATTGCATCGAGAACTATAAAATACCTAGGAATAAACCTGAGCAAAGATGTAAAAGATCTTTATGCTGAAAACTATAGAAAGCTTAGAAAGGAAACTGAAGAAGAACACAAAGAAATGGAAACATAGAGTAAAATATTCAGGTCAGGATGCATGAATAGACTCTTCTTTAAAAAAAAAAAAAATATGTATTTATTTTGAGAGAGAGAGCATACACAAGAAAGGGACAGAGAGAGGATCATGACCTGAGCCGAAATCAAGAATCAGACATCCGACCGACTGAAAACCCGCATGAATAGACTCTTAACAGAAAGAGAATTCGACAGCAGCCATTTACAGAATATACAGCACTGTCACATTTTAGCAAAATGCACCCCAGGACGTCAGAAACATTATAGTGATTTGTTTCAAAAATACTAAATTCTCTTTTACCTCTGCAATAATGTATCATTAATGCAGTGAAAGAAGTTAGTGAAAAAAGCGTGATCGTCCTTCCCCACCTTCTGCCCATCCGTCTTCCGGGAGACCACGTCTTCCAGAAGAACAGAGGCTGTTGCTCACCAGGCTTGGCGTGAGGTTTCGAGGCTGCTGCTTTTCCCCCTACATCATAACCGATTTCAAATGGTGCTAGACAAAAACAGACTCTGAACACCAGGAGAAATCGGTCAGCCTGTGTAAGAGATGGGTCCAGTGGTGCTCCCGGGGGTCCGGCACTTGACCTTGCAGGTGGCAAGTCTGATTCCAGCCACACTGCAAGTGCAGCTGGGTGTTCCCGGGCCTCTAGGAGGGGGTGCAACGCCGATGCGGATGGAACCGTCCTCCAGGCACACAGCCAGTCACACAGTCCAGGTACAAGGGAGAAAATCTCAGGGGCGCTTGGGTGGCTCAGTCAGTT